CTTTCTTTCCTTTAATTTTCTTTATTTTCACACATTAAAAAAACGAAACACACTATACAAATGGTTTTCATAGCAGATCACACATGGGTCCATTCAGACTCCTCTCAAGTGCTGCCCCAGAAGACAGCTGTTCACCAGGGGCCAACGTACTGATTTAAGTGCAGTAGCATGCAGCCTCAGCATGGAAGGTTCGGGTCCCCTCTGTCCATAATTTAGGGTAAATGGCATTGGCGTCTGTTTACTGACTGAAATGTGTCAGTCCTGAGCAGTCCGGCTGTAGCCTGAGACCAGCTGGTGGGAACTGTGGTCTCAGCGTTAAAAATGGAGGTTCAAATGGCGGCAGGCTGGCTGCTATGAACGTGAGCTGCTTCCATTCTATTCAGTGGACTATGTTGTGGGTCACAGACCCTTCTAGAAGGGTTAGGCCAAGTAACTGTAGGTATCCTTCTCACCATCAACTCGTTCCAAATATTCTTTCTCGATGAGAATATCAATGCATTTCTTGATCCCTGGGACCCGAGGTTTGAACCTGGAAGACAGCTGAGTGAGGACTTCACCAAGTAACTGCTGGTGTTTCAGGACCTTCCTCATTTTCATGATTCTCACGATGGCCGCCTGAACCAGTAGTTTGCGGTCTTCCTCTATATTTTTGTGTGTGGTCTCTTGTTCCTGCTTCTGTTCAGTTTTCATTGGTACGTTGATGTTAACCCTTAATTTCTTATTTTTATAACCAAGATATAACTTTATTAGGGTGTCTGGCTTCAATTCCACCTCATCAACATTTGCATTTTCGTCTTCCAAGACCAGCAACTTTGACTTCAGCAAAATCTGTAGGACTTGGGCCATAATGTCCATCTTAATCTGCGCACTGTCCGTCAGCTGCTGCACAGTGTAGGCGTCTTCTGTGCTGTACTGAAGCAGGATCGCCGTCTGGAATGTGGAGGCCTGCAAAGTATATCTGTTTTTTGAAGCAATTAGTGACTAGTTCGCCTTTGGACAGTTGATAGAACCGCGTCAGTTTTCTGCCACTGTGGCGGCTGGCGTAGAAAACTGTGAACCGCTGATAACTGCGCTCCAACTCTGACGGCAAGGCAAGCGTGCAAGACTGCAGGAAGGGCCACGACCCGGAACTGAGGACCTGGATGCTGAAGTCCAAGTCCAGGGGTTCTGAAGTCGTTAGGTGCTTTTTGAACTGTTCATCGAGATCTTTGCTTACACCAATGTCTTGAAACATTCGCTGAAGTTTGGAGATGTACTCAAAACCACAAGCTTGCTTCAACTCGGAGATCGCGCTTGCTTCGGCATGGTCACTTCCACTGTTCTGATGCCCCGGTCCCTTGGCAAGCATCTTTGCATAGAACTTCTGAGACACATCTTTGTCCTCGATGTACTTGAAGACCACCATCACTTGATTGAGGACAGGAAGCCAGTGTCCTTGTTGAATGCTGATATTACTAGGGCATTGCACTTTTTACGAACATCCAGAACTGTCTGCACATACATCTTGGGGTCCTTTAAAGCAGCTTCTCCACACTTCTCAATCGCTGCAAGACCCTGATTATGAATATGTGTTTCTAGGAGTTTTTTCAATTCTCCTAGGCCATCCTGAATTCTAGATACAAGATTATACATGCGGCCCAAATCTTCATTCTTGTCAGCATCCAACAAATTCTGAAACTCTGTGTGGAAAATTTCCAAGTGTTTTTCGATGAGGACCTGCTCACATTTCCGTGTTAGTTCGTCTTGTGTGCTCTGATGGAGGTAATCCTGCACTCTCCACTGCTCCTCCAGCAAACGAGCCTCAGCCTTTTTCATCTATTCAGTAAACTGGGTTCTGCTGCAAGAATTCAGTACTTTCTCTGGTATAAAATCTCTCCGTGTCAGCCAACAATTGAGATTCAAAGGATTCTTTATACACTGTTAACGTAGGGCCCTTTGCAAATGCATCATCTTCATTCGGCCCCAATTCCACATAAGATTGTACAACTCCACTAATCAGTCTCGTATTGATGGTTTTGCCATTCCTTTCCTTTTCAATCAGTTTTAAAACAGCATTTGTTACCTGTTTATTCAGTGGCCTGAACAAACAATCTCTCCACGTCACTAACGCAAGTGAATAGATTTCATATATTCCTTTCCGTCCTTCATCACATTCGCGGCGAACCCAATGTCTATTGAGGTAGGCACAGATCCCATTCAGCACTTTGCTGGCGAATCGGTAATCTGTAGCTAGAGTTTTCCTGCCTTGCCCACAGT